CYTAAAGGGTCCGGAGCTGACTCTGTACTTTTAAGGGTCAATTTTCGAACAACGGGAAGAAAATGAAGAAGTGTTATAAAGAAACAGATGTTATTAACCTCAACAATATATTGACATTGATTTTCTGCAGTTTGTTAAACTTAAGCCTTTCTCTTGTTCAGGACGTCAAAAATGGTCGTAGTTTTTAGGGTCAGGAATCGAAATCTGAACTAATTTATGCGTTCCTTTTAGGGTCATTTATCAATCCGTCCGTCGAGCATACCTACCAACTTTTATAAGGGAATTCCCCCCCAGGATATTTTTCCCTATTAAGCAATTGACCTTTGATTTCTCTATGTTATATACCGTATATGCAATACACTGTAGAATATCAAAAATGGCAGATTTGAAGTATGTTTTTCAATAATAAAGAGGGAAAGGAGACAGCAGCGAGGGTCTTCTCAAAACCAGAAGAAGAAAAAGATCCGCGACCTGAAAACCTACGCTTCTTAGTGTTGACTGCTTCTTATTTCAYTGATTCCTTTTTAATCTCTTGATCTCTCTAAAGTGACTTAACTTCAAAGTCACCTGTCACCACGGCGTCAGTTTTAGTGAAAAATTCTGAATAATACATGTAATTTGTTCAGTGRTTGTATTCAATAGTGATACAAATGCTTTGCTTTGATATTGCACATAACTAAGCTTGCATGCCTCCTTTTTGACTAGTTTACTCTATTCAATGCCTCTGATGCCTAACTTGTGTTCTTTGTAGTTATGAAATCCAAGTAGACCCTTCGTTTCATCACAAAGGACTTGGCAAGTTTTTGATGCAAATATTAGAGCTAATGGGCCATAGAGCACAAATGAAAAAAATTGTTTTGACAGTCTTTACAGGTTTGTATTTACACTTGACGYGTTATTGGTCTTTCCTGTCATTGTTGAATGCAAAGCTTACGTATGTAGCAGCCCTCTTTGAGAAAGGATCTCATACGCAGGGATCCCAAGAGGGCTGCTAACGCCCACAAGACAGGGAAATGTTGGCTTTTCGTGTTAGTTCACATAACAATCCCTTTTCTTTGCAGGAAATGGTGTTGCGATCAACTTCTTCAAGAATTGTCTTAAGTAAGTTCTGAATTTACATGGTCTGTGAAGATATACCCACCCTCCGCTTTTCGCCCTGATCAAATATKGGCTTCTCACCTGCATTCGTTTTTTGTTGTCGCTGCTGCTGCAGCTGTTGTTGCTGCTGTTTTTGTTGTTGTGAATCTTGAAGTCTTTATCTCCATGGTCAACTGTATTTCCGTTTTGTTGTTGTTGTTGTTGTTGTTGTTGCTGCTGCAATAGCTGTTTTTGATGTTGTTATTGTTGTTGTGAATCTTCAAGTCTTTATCTCCATGGTTAACTGTATTTGCGTTTTCGGGCATCGTTTTCGAGAATTTTGTTTTATATTGTAAAAAAAATAAAGCGGACATGCAAAAAATTCAATCATCGTGGGGAAAAAGGCCTTAGATTTCATTTTCTGTTGGGATATTCCAAAGTCTAGTGAATAAAGGCTGCACCCAGGKTGGTTAAGGTCGCAGCTCCTAAATATTTCGCTGGTCATTAGTTGACTTAGGAGTGAATCAAGAAAAATGAAACATAAACAATAGAGGCTATTGTTC